TTTGGGGGGGGGGGTGGTTGTGATGGTTGTTTCAATTTCCTCACTGCTGATTGATCTATTTAGTTTTTCCAATTTTTCATGATTTAGTCTGGAGTTTCTATATTTGTAGAATTTCCGTTTCTTCTAGATTATTCAATTTGGTATCATGTAGTCTTTCATAATATTCTTTGTACATCTGTGATATCTTTGGTGACTCTCTCTCATTCCTGATTTTGTTTATATAGGTCTTTTCCCTTTTTCCCTTAGTGAGTTTAGTCAGGGGGTCTGTCAATTTTAATAATCTTTTTTAAAGAACCAGTTCTTTGTTTTAGTAATTTTTGCATAATCTTTTATTCTCTATTTGATTCAATTCTGCTCTAATTTTTATTTATTATTTATTTTTTTAATATATTTTATTGATTTTTTACAGAGGAAGGGAGAGAGAGAGAGAGCTAGAAATGTCAATGAGAAAGAAACATCAACCAGTTGCCTCTTGCACACCCCCTACCGGGGATGTGCCCGCAACCAATGTACACATGCCTTTGACAGGAATAGAACATAGGACCTTTCAGTCCACAGACCGACACTCTACCACTGAGCCAACCCGATTTCGGCCTGCTCTAATTTTTATTATTTCCTCTCTTCTGCTAACTTTGGGCTACTTTTGTTTTTCCTATTCTAGCTCTTTAAGATGTGATGTTATGATTATTAGGAATTCTCAATTCCTTTTGAGAAATTTTATTCAGCAATAAAGACAAATTATTGGAGAATAATTTATACCAAGCATACTCTCTAACCATAATGCCTTGAAATTAGAAATCAACTGCAAAAAGGAAATAAAGAAACACACAAATATGTGAAGATTAAATAAATACTACTAAAAATGACTGGATTAAAGAAGAAATAAAAGATGAGATCAAGAGATTTATAGCAACAAAGAGGAATAACAATACAACAGATAGAAAATTCTGGAATTCAGAAATTCAGGATTTCTTATCCTCCCTTATCATCTCTCCATTTATTCCTGGTTGCCCACCTTTAGATATTTAAATGCCAGAGTCTCTCAGGCATGCCTCTGTATTAAGCAGGGAATTCTTTGTTGAATCATAGTTGTTTAACTTGTTGAAATTTCAGGAGAAGAGGCCAGGAGATCTCTCACACTGCCATTAATCTGAACACTCTACTTATCACTTTATAGCTTAGTTTCTTCATCTGCAAAATGATACTACCTGTTTCACAGTTATTGTGAGAGTTAAATGAGATCATATATATGCACATATATTTATATACACATATATGTAAATATATACATATACATATATGTATATATATCTTACCTAATAATAGACAAACATGTAAATTGACCATATCTTTGCAAGGCCCATAGCCAATCAGAGTGACTATGCAAATTAACTAAAACAAGATGGCAGTTAATTTGTATACAAAGGTGCGCAGCACCTATGTCCCAAGAAAATCCTGGCACCCAGGTCATTGTGAGGTAAGTTCTGGGTAGGACCCCCAGCGATCAATCACAGGGAGCTGGGGCTCTGCTCCTGCCCAAGAGGCTTTCGGCCTGGGCAGGCCTGGGCAGGGATGGAGCCGGTGATCAGAGGGAGCTGGAGGTCCTACCCAGAGGCTTTAGGCCTGGGCAGGGACCAGCTGGCGATTGGTGTGAACTACAGAGAAAACACCTTTTCTGACTGCTCATTGGTTAAACTTCCTTTATGCCCCTAGTAATATTCTTAGTAACTTGGGTAATAAGAGTCCAAAAAGGTGACCTAGGGTTTTCCACCACACTTCTGGAGAAAAAAAGGAAGGTCCGCTGCTGGAGGACTAAGAAATGCCATATCCTGCCCTAGCAGGTTTGACTCAGTGGATAATGCCTCCTCCTGCCAACAGCAGAGTCTGGGTTCGATTCTGATCAAGGTCATGTACCTACCCTGTTTCCCCGAAAATAAGACAGTGTCTTATATTAATTTTTGCTCCCCAAAATGCACTAGGTCTTATTTTCAGGGGATGTCTTATTTTTCCATGAAGAAGAATATAGTACACATTTATTGTTAAATGAAAATAGAGGAAATTTATTACCTGTATATGGTACAGTAGTACGGTAGTTGTCAGCACAAACCAGACAAACTGTGAATCCTACAGTATCAAGAATTTACTCATTTATTCAATGACAATCATGTCATCATCTTCTGGAACAGCATCATAAAAATCCATTTCTGAATTTCCTGGTGAATTTCTTGTGACTCCATTTCTTTCAGAATCAGTGGACCAAATCTCTCATGTTTAGCATAAGGGGAGCCTTATTTTTGGGGGGATGCCTTATATTTCACTAAGAAGGAAACCTGTAATAGATCTTATTTTCAGAGGATGTCTTATTTTCGGGGAAACACAGTAGGTTGCAGGCTCCTCCCTGGCCGGGGCCCAGGTCAGGGCTCAGGAAGGAGGCAACCAATCAAAGTGTTCCTCTCAACTTCATGTTGCTCTCTGTCTTTCCCTTTTTCTTCCACATTCTCTAAAAGTCAATGGAAACATCCTCAGGTGAGGATAAAAAAATAATAATAAAGAAATGCATATCCTATGAAAAACATATCTTGAAAATGCCTAAAGAAAGTTGTCATTTTCTCATGGTGAAGGGACTGGAGTCCGTGCTGATGAAAACACCGTGGTGGCTGCGGTGACTGGCAGTGGCTGCAGCAGAGGGGTGATGGGGCTGGTGCCTTCCCCTGATCAGCCCGGTTGCCTCCCACAAAGGGAGGCCAGACTGCGGCTTAGGCCCGCTCCCCTGGGGCCTAAGTAGGACATCTGCCAGTAAGCCGTCAGGAGGGCATCCCCCGAGGGCTGCCAGTATCTGAGAGGGGCAGGCTGGGCTGAGGAGACCCCCCACCCCAGTGCATAAATTTCATGCACCAGGCCCCTAGTATGTATGTGTGTGTGTGTGTGTGTGTGTGTGTGTGTGTGTATATATATATATATATATATATATATATATATATATATATTTTACTAAATGTTCCATTGAAAACAATTTCTTCGATAAACTGAGGTGCAAGTATTTTATTGTTTTATTTTTTCTTTCTTTAACAATGTATTCCTAAGGCTGATTTCCTGAGAACCACTCCCCCTTCCCCAATTGGCTTGATAAGATTAACATCTCAAAATTTTAATATGTAAATACTATGTTTGCTTCCCCATTTACTGATTTTGCCCCCCCCTCCCGCCCCCAAATCTATTTAGCCTTTTGGTACAAAAAAAAAACATAAAGTGGAGAAGTGGACAAAGAAAATATTACATTCATAAAATATGTTTTTCTGTCAACTCCTAAGGATATTTTGCTTACTGGTTTATTAGTTGCCTCTTTAGGAGACCTTTCCATAGAGGTCACTGGCTGGGAAGTCCAGTGTGAAGAGGCCTGAGCATCAAGCTCAGTAAGGATGGACTGTACTAAGCAAGCAAATTAAAGCATGCTCAGTGCTCTCTACTTTAAGATACCAAAAAAAGAAAAAGTTGTGTTACTTAAATCACCCAAGGCAAAACTACAAATTAGTGCACTATATGACATTTTTTAAAGGTCTTTGGAGAAAACAAAACAACCTCCCAGTTTAATGGACCCAAAGATTTTGTGCAAACATTGTGTATGAAAAATCAATAAACATCATACCACTAAATTTTTAAGGGTATACTTAGTACTGGGTAGTCACCAGGCTTTAGAAGAATTACTGTCATTTTGATTTTCAGATGAGTCATTGGGTCTCTTGCTCCCCTGGAGGCACTTTGTTATGATTCAGTGCAAAGTACTGAAAAAGGGCTCCAGCTTCCGGCCTTCAGTGAGGTAGTGGTGTCTGAGAGGGAGTTGCAGTGGCTCCCGAGTTAGCATAAGGCTTAATTGACACCTTTGATACAGCCTGAGACAGAACCTGCACCTCCCACTGCTGCTTGGAAGACGTCAGCCTTATGCAGAAAAGGCATCTGCTGATGAATCCTGCATCTCATTCCGTCTGCTCTGGGAGCAGCAGCCTTAGCCATCCTTAACTAATCCACTGCCTCACATTTCTGAGGGTGCTTGGCTAGGTGCTGAGAAGGGACTTGCCTCTTACTACTCTCAGGTCAAACAGTAAGACTGTGTCCATGTTAGAACTCATAGAAGGTAAGTTAAATGCATGATTGCTCTCCCTTTTGGAAAATGTTTGTTATGCACTCTCAAGAATGTGTGTGTCTCATTGCTACTCTACTTCCCTGCCTGTGGATGTAAAACGTGTAAAAATGTTGTCCTTATATATCTTTATAAAGTAATATCTTTAAGTGTTTTATAATGTTGCTTAGAGAAAATTGTTTACTTGAGTTCTGTGGTTTTGTTTCAGTTTAGTGATAATGTTATCTGAAAGTCTTAATAATCAGGAAAATTCCAGTGACTTAAATCTATTAGAAATCAGCTTTTATTTTTTAACAGTGGTAAGGACAATCAGTGAGGAGTTCCCAAGTGTCTGTGCCAATTACTTTGTCATGTTTAAAAGCAGGTCCTTCAAGTGTTTAAGTGAGGTAGGTGTGCAGGGCAGAAATGGATGCAGGAACTTCTAGAAGTGAGTTGTTAACTATAAAAATATAGCGATTTAAACACGTACCGAGGATATCACCTGAGAGCTGTGCTAATATTTACTCCTACTGGAAGCTAATGAAATAAAAATGAATCCCATTAAAAATGCCCCAGGGCTTTAATATCATTCCTCAAATCTATATTGGCACAGTAAAAGACATCATTAATAAATTCATCAGGAAAGGTATGAAAAAACATTTTAAAATGTTATGTAACCTGTCGCTGTATTAAGTACTGGCTTAACAAAACAGTAAATTTCTGAAGACGGTTATTTCCTGAAGCTTTTTCTCAGGACCACAGATAAAAAGGTGTCTGGAATTTTAGCAAATGTTCCTCTATAATTATTTCTCAGAGAAATTGATTTTGTCGTGAAACTTTTTTAACATGCCATTTTCCCATCTGTGTTTCTTTGTACTTCTAGTTAATGGGACCCCTGGTAGTCAACTCTCTACTCCGCGGTCTGGCAAGTCACCAAGTCCATCGCCCACCAGTCCAGGAAGCCTTCGGAAACAGAGGGTAAGGAAATAAGCAAGCTCCTTGCTTCAAATCTGTATGTGCCTTGGTGCAGAATGGCACAGATGCCAGCAAAAGCTCTCTCATAATAGCACTCTTGTCTCTAAGTACTGACCAGGTGGAGGTAGAGCAGGAGGTAAGCAATGGTGGGTCAATTGTTATGGCTATCATTCCTCTTAGCTAGAACTCAGGGCTTTTATTTTCTCTATGAACCTGTTTAAACCTTATCTCTGAGAAGAATAAATAGGTGATGCTTCACTTTTAAAAAAATTTCTTTATTGATTAAGGTGTCACCATTTGCTGCTTCACTTTTTAACACCTTACTCTTTTTGTCCTGAATTAGAAAGACTTTACTAGCAATGACTTGTAAGCTCCCTGAGTTTAATAAGCTTTATTAGACATCATCATTGATCATCAGCCTTCCTTCGGAGGGAGAAGGAAAAGTGCCATTATTGGAGGGCTGGGCCATTGTCAGGGGTTGCTTTATATAATGGCATAGAATGGTGTTCCAGAGTGGCTTTGGAAAAGGACATGGGTCCATATGAGATGTACTTTTGTGAATGAAACAAACATGGAACATCTTATTTTTCATCACTACCTGAGTTTAATTTTTAGCTTCCTGTGAAATGATGGAGATGACCAAAGTTGGAGACCAAAATTAAAAAGTTACTGAAAACAGTGTTAGCTTCTCCATGCTAAAGGGGAATAGAAGAACTACTCTTTTTATCCCTTTACAAAGCAAGACTAAAAGGAGTGAGAAGGGGAGGAGGGGGAAAGTACAGTGGAGGAAATGGAAGGCCATTCATTGGCCTGATTTCACAAGCAAGGTGGGGAAGAATACAGATGCTTAGGAGGTTATATGATGGTGCTCACTAAATATTTTAATAAGAAAAGGCTCATTGGAGTCTTTGGACATCAAAGCCTAGACTCTTGAATTTGGCTTCTTTTATTAAGTGTTTTAAAATGAGACTTCCAAGTTCCATAAATTTAAACTGTAACCAACATGGAAGCTCCTGTGTTCAAGCTTCCCCCCAGGTTGTGTTCACACAGCACTATCTAAAGCGGGGGCTGTGGAATCAGTCCCTGGTCCCTTTGGAGCCTGCATCACCAACATCAGGTTGTATTGTCATTTTCCACTGATGCCTTTGAATCAGGTTTGGCTTGTTTGGATTATTTGATGAGGCCTGGGGTTTGGCACCAGTTCCTTCACTAAATAGCTTTGTTATCTTAGTTTTCCTCTCTGGGCCTTAGTAAAATGAAAGAAAATAAAGAGGCTCTTTCCGGACAAAAAACCCAATAATTTTATTTCAGTTCTGTTCAAGTGTGTTCAGTATAGTTTCTTCTTGGCCACAGTCTAATTTGGCATTTTAAAGTACAGTAGTGAACTACTAAAAAGAATTGGCCAAATTAATTTAATCTGCTAAATGTCTATGTTTGAGTGGAGGAAGTAATACGGTGACATATATTTATTTATTTATTTGTTTGTTTGTTTATAAATATTACCCAGCTAGATCCCCATCTGTAGGAACAACCATTGGATATAGCACAAAAAGGGCCCGCTTTCACAGAACATTCTCCCTTTGAAGAGTATACCTGGTATCGAAATTCCTCTTTATCCTTTAAACTTATTAAACTCAGATTTAGGATTTTGTGCATGCTTAGTGGTTGATATTAAATTAGAATGATTGAGAAGCCCTGCCATAGATTTGATTTTTTTCTCCTGCTTGCTTATTGGGGACATAAAGCTCTTTGTTTAACTCTTTGTTTGAAGAATGAGGCTGAAGTTTACTTCTGCTCTCTGTATTTTCTATTTCACTATTATTTTGTCTAGATGAGGCAGAAAATTTCCATGCAGTTACTAGCAGCTGTGTGGCCACCATTTTATATAATTAACATTGTTATGTGGGAACTGATTGTAAGGGATGATTGTCTTATACATTCTTCATTTTGTCATTTAAATTAACAATGCAAGCATCATACCTGAGAGGGGGAAATAATCCCATTTGTTTTAGAGAGATACAGGGTTTATCATCATCTGAAAACATTTATTAAGCACATGTTATGAGCGGAGAATTGGATGAATCAGAGATGGCTTAGTTTCCAGGCTTTTTCCAGGCTTCAGACCATAAATGAACATTCTCCATTCATGTACCGTGTCAGTGAACAGGCACATTCCCAGCTGCTCTAGCAAGAGAAGCTTTCATCCGGGTATGGAGCCAACTACATCAAATAACCTCTCCAGATTAAAATGGGCCTCTAATATCCCTAAAAACTGACCCTATTTCAAATTTGGTTAATGTTCTTCTCAAATGTTTGGCTGTACTCATATGCAGGAAATACTGAAATAAGTGAAAGATGGCAAGTGCTAAAAGAAGATATTTCAATGAATAAATTAACTCTTTTTATTGCAAACTGGAAAGCAGTAGCTACTTCTATTTTCCCTCTCTGTTGCCTAGCAACATGGCCAGGAAAACTTGGCTGTCTCCCCGCCACACACACACAGACACACTCACACTCACACTTTCTACCTGAACATAAAGTTTTGTTTTTTAAAGAAATATCAAGACATTTGACTAATTTCTTCACAAATAAGAAAATATATATTAATTAGATAATTTAATCAGTTTTTTTTACTTCCCTTAAAATTATATTTTTATGTTATCCCTCTTGGTTTTTAGAATAGTTATATACAATAAGAGTCTGCATGCCAGATATTTTTCTTTTTAAAAGTACTGTTGGCAAGCAACCTCCCTGTTTTTATAAAATAGTTATTTAAATTGCTGTCTAGAAGCATTTGACTGGTCACAAACAAACATCTTGGAGGATCTTTTCCATCCATGGATTTTCTTGGGTCCCATTTTTTTAATGTATCAGAAAGAAGTGTGTTGTGTGGGTTGAATGAAGCTCCCCATTATACTCCCACATTGCTGACTTTTTGTAGGTTATCTCATCATTCAGATGATGTGCAGAGTGGGTGGTACAAAATAGGAAAGAAGCCAGGTTTCTAGACAGTGCAGATCTGAGCTGGTTGCCTGGCTACCAATCGAAAAAGATCTCTTGGCAAAAGGGGTAGAGGGAAGAAAAGGAGAGAAGGTAGGTGAGTGGTTGTGGAATTGGGGAAGAATATTAGAAAGGGATATGAGTCAAGTTTGCATTCTTTCTGTCTTTCAAACATAAAATTTGAAAAGGCACTATTTATTGGATTTATTGATGTGCAAATACAGCACTTAGGTTGTTTCACTGCGTCTCAAATTTTCTGAATGCCAGGTGTTGCTTCTAATAAATTATTTTTGTGAAGTAAGCATATTCCTCTTCTACCCAAAATAGGAAGGAGATGTTCAAGGAAGAATTGCCTAGTTACATAGAAGCAGGGATGGCATTGACAGACCTCAGCAGCTGTAAAACTTAACTGGACACAAAGTAAAAGTTCCTGAGGAGATCAAGTCAATAAGGCAAAATAAGCACTATTTTGTCTATTTAGATGGTTTCTCAATTATTTTTCCCTTTATATGAATTAGGTCACTAATAAGTTTAAAGACATTAGACACTATGTGTGATCAGTCAGTGTTGCTCTGCTCCTAGGAGCCATATGGCACTTATGAGGGCCAAGTAAAAAATTTATACTGCCCTTCCTCTTACAGGACCTGTACTGCCCCTTCTCTTCAGATGATTTGGAATCAATGGGAGACTCAATGTAAAAGAGACAATGATGCAATGTATATGGTTTGTGATTAGGTGAAAGTTAAACATTTTCTAAGCAAAAGTTTAACAGCAAAGTACACAAAAAGTTTTGCATACTTTGAAATTGTGAAGTCCAAATCATAGAAAAGTAAATATACAGACATTTTATATTTATGATGTTAATCCTGGAGTTTTTCTTTCCATATCTCTTACATTATTTGATTGGAGGATCTTGAACACAAACTCACTCAGTTGCTAAGTTTTTATGCGAGGCCTGACTCCAGGTGAATTTCAAATATGAACCCAATATTGAGTATAAGAATATGCTAATGATTCAGCAATACAGAGTTATAATTTTTGTAGCTGGGGTTTTCATTTTAACTGTAAGTAGACATGTAGATACAATTTTCCTGTACTTTTGGTCAAGCTGATTAAAATGACACTAAAAACACATTTTTTCTTAAAATTATATTCTTTTAAAAATTTGGATGGCTTATTTTTAAGGGTACTTTTATAGCAAAATAATAATAAAAAATACAGGTAGAAATTTTTTTCCTAGTCAGTAGAGAAAGCTACTTATCATTTTGTGAGTTAATATAATTGAAGAAAAACACCCATGTCAAGGATACATCTCATGAAGATTTTAAAGTTAAACACTAGATAATTTTCTTATTTTTCTTGTTGAGCAAATTTAAATTTTTAAAAATTATTTTTACTTGAAACAGTTTAAAAATAGCTGACATGAAGAACTATAAATTATATAATTCCTCTCACAACTAGATATGTAATTTTTCAAATGTGTAAAGTCTGTAGCTAGGAAACTTTTTTTTACACATAGAACTAAAAAAATAGTTGTATCTCGACTTCTTCCAAAAAATCAATTTGAAAAGCTAAATTCGTTTAGATGGTACTGTATAAAGAAGGCCCAAAATATCTAAATCTCTATTCCAATAAATCCTAGGTCTTGCTAGTGTTTTGGAAATTTTCATATGCAAAACTCCTTTTGTGTTAAACCAACTAAGTCTATGATTATAACCCATTGTTAACATTAACATATTAATTCTGCTCTTCTGGTCCTCTCTTTAAAATTATGGTCAGCTTTTCTTAAACATAAAATAATTATTTTACAATCTGAATGTTAAATTAATTTAATGTGTATGGTCTATTGTATTTAAGCCATATCCTAATGATGATCTAATTTTACTAAACACTAACAATTTAAGACTTACGAACCATGATTTTGATACTATACAGGCTTGACATATCTCAGTAGGTGATAAATTAATAATGTATGATGCCATTTGGAGGCTTTTACTTGAGTT